TTTTGGCAGCTGCAGCACACTGCTTGTCCACTAGGACTCCAAGATTCTTCTTAGAGTTATTAGTATTGAGCCAGGTACCATCTACCACAGGGGCCTGTTTGTATGTCCATGTGTGTGCATAAAATGGTTTCCCCTCCCTTTCCCTCCGGTCCGCCAACCGAGAAAGGTTGGAGACCTCTGATCTACCCTATACCTGTGCATTTGGTGCTTTTTTTTTTTTTTTTGCCTAACTGTAGAACCTTACTTTTTTCACCATTGAATTTTGTTTTGTTAGTGTTAGGGCCCAGTATTCAAGTCTGTTGAGATCCTTTTGTATCTTGAGCCTATCATCTAGAATTTTGGCTATTCCTTCCAGCTCAGTATCATCTGCAAATTTGATGAGTTCCCCTTCTATCCTTTTGTCTAAATCATTTTTAAAGATATTGAGGAGTACTGGGCCTAAGACAGAACCTTGAAGTACCCCACTGCACGCTTCCATTCATGTGGATTAAGGACTACACATTGTGTACGGTTGGTCAACCAGGTACGAATCTATTTGATGGTGAAGCTATCCAACCGACATTTTCGTATCTTATCAAATAGTAGGCTGTGATCTACTTTATCAAATGCCTTGCTGAAGTTCAAGTAAATTATATCTATCACATTTTCTGGTCCACTAATTTTATAACATTGTCAAAGAATGCAATAAGATTTATCTGGCATCATCTGTTTTTGACAAATCCATGTTGAATTCTGATTACTACTTTGCTTGCTTCTAGGTGCTTGCAGATTCGTTGCTTGATTTTTCCAGAATCTTCTCTGGTATTGATGCCAGGTTGATAGTTTCCTGGATCCAGCTTTTTTCCCCTTTTTTGAACATGGGAACCACATCAGTCCTTTTCCAGTCATTTGGTAATTCCCCGCTGCTCCAGGATCTTTGAAAGATACGATTCAATGGTTCTGAGATCTCATCTGCCAGTTCCTTCAGAAACTTGGAGTGTAATCCATCTGGTCCTGGTGATTTGAAGTCCTCTAGAGTGGATAGGTATTCTCTTACCATTTTCTTGCTTATTTTGATTTGCATTCCTAATATACATTTTACAGTATTTTTTTGGGTACGTTGACCTGTTGTTTCCTTTAGTGTAAAGACAGATGCAAAATACGACTTAAACAGTTCTCTTTTCTCCCTGCTGTTTGTCACCTTCTTGCCATTTTCTCCATTAATGAACCAATTGTTTTTTTTACTTTTTTCTTGTTTTTACAGGTTGAAAGAAGGTGGTGTTTTTTTGGTTATTTTGGACATTTGTTGCAAGCCTTAGTTCATTTTGAGCAGTAGTTTTCCTTACTTCATTTTTGCAGGTTCAAGCTGTTTGCTGATATTTTATCTTAGTTATGTGCCCCTCTCTCCATTTTTTATATTTGCCCTTTTTGTCTTTCATTTTTTCAGAGAGTTCTTTATGTAGCCATGCTGCTTTCTTTTCAGATCTCTTATTTTTCTTCTTCATTGGTATGTACTAGACTGGGATTTTATAATCTCACTTTTCAAAGTTTCCCAAACTACTTGGGTTGTTTTTCCCTTGTGGATTTTCATCCATGGAATTCTTCCCAAGCGCCCTCTAAGTTTATTGAAATCAGCTCTCTTTTCAAGTTTAAAAAGTCAATAACTAATGGGCAGAACTAAAGTTCCCAGCCTAATATAAACATTAGAATCCACTTAAATTTATAGCAAATATTTCATTTGTCAACCTAATAAACCAATTTTGACAGGAATACACAAATATGCTTTACTGCTCTTCTGCATGATTGCAAGAAAAAGGTCTACAGTATTATGTTGCCCAAAGTGGCATATTCCGCAGGCATGTATTTGGAACTGGCCGAGCAATTCCTTTTTTGTATTGTGATTCTAAAATACAGGCAGGCTGATATGAATAAAAATGTTTTTTTCAGCCATTATATTTCAGACTATTTGAAGCTTTAAGCCTAAAACCAGCACATCCCCCCCCCCCGGTCCTGTTCATGTAAGTGGCACCGTTTAGGGTGCTTCCAGGTTGAAAGGATTAGTTGCTGACATTACCATTGCCTGAGGGATGCCCATGTTCCCGTCAAGGAGCTGGAACAAATGATGGAAGCTCACTCTGCTGGACAATAGCACTCGGTGCTCAAACGTGGGCTTGCTAATCTCCAACCCAGCATCCTAACCACATGAGCCAACGTGTTCCTTAGCCAGCACATGAAATACAGAAACATGTTTGAAACCAAATACAGCTGGTGTAATATAATATAATGATATAACTACTATGCTCTCAGCAGTATAAGAACAACATATTCTCCACCAGCTGTAACTTCCAAATCATTTTCTAGAATAACTTCAAATATAGTGCATCATTATAATAATTCATTTCAGCATTGTTGGTGCATAGATAGCTAAAACAAAATCTTCCTTTGGATAGGATTACAACTGGTATACTAGTCTAATTTAGTAAGCAGTATTGCTGACTGCTACCCGAGCTTCCCATTAATGCAGAATCCAGGACAACTGCCAAGCTGCATATTTGGTCCTTCAGGGAAACTCTAAGATTAGTTGTGAGCCTTCATATACAATAACTGATTTCTTTACTCACAGTACCTCTGTTTTGTGTAATTAAATCTGAATAACTTAATTCTTCCTTCTTTTGAAAATTGCTATTGCGGTATAGGCGTTTCACAGTTGGAGAAGAATGTTTTCCAGTTAGAGCATGATTTAGAAATTTTATCTCTGTGGAACTATTTTTATTTTATTTCGTCGTCAGCCATTCAGTCGTGTCCGACCCTTGGCCACTCTGCATCAGCACTCTCTATGCCTCTCTGTCTTGTACCACCTCTTCAGATCTGCCATGGTCATGGTGTCACCATTTATGATGTCCATCCAGTGGGTACTAGGATGGCCCCTTCTCCTTTTTCCACTGATCACTCCCAGCATGATTGACTTTTCGAGTAGTCAGCTTTCATGATATAACCGAAGTATGACAGCCTCTGTTTGGCAATCTTGGCTTCAAGTGATATTTTTGGGAGGTTTGGTCTAGGACTTCTTTGTTTGTTATTTTTACAGCCTTTGCGATGCATAATAGTCACCACTAGCACCACAGTTCAAAGGCGTCCAACCTTCTCCTATCTGCCTTTTTCAGAATCCAAATTTCACAGCCATAAATAGCAATTGGAAAAATTATTGTGTTAAGTAATCTGTGTTTGGTTATGAGACTGATGTATTTATTTTTCCAGATGTTATTCATGCCAGACATCGCAGTTCTTCCAAGGGCTATACGCCTTCTGATCTCAGGGCTGCAGTCACCACTTTGGTCAATTTTAGAACCTAGGAAGATGAATTCCTTTACTGTTTTGATGCTTTCATTGTCAATCTGCACTTTGGCCTGTGTATTCTTTAGAGTTGTCATTTTCTTTGTTTTCTTGATGTTAACATGCAGTCTAAATTTTTCACTTTCATCTTTGACTCTCAGGATTAGCCACTCCAGATCCTCCTTGCTTTCCGCGAACAATGTTGTATCATCTGCATATCGGAGGTTGTTGATATTCCTACCACCTATTTTAACTCGAATGGTATATTCCTCCAAATGTGCATTTCTCATAACTATTTCAGTTATGTTGAATAGTATAGATGTTATCGTATATATTTTATTTAATTCTTATTTATGGGATTTATATTCTACTCATCCTTCAGGAGCTTAGGGCAGTGTGCAAAGCATTTTCTCCTTCCTTCTGTGGCTGAAAGCGGACTAGAACCTGGATATCCCTATTGCCAGTCCAGCACTGTGCTCACTGCATTATATTGCCCTTGAATTTTTGTAATTGTTTTTAATGTAGTGCTTTTAATTTTTAAATTTGTTTTAATTTTGTATTTTTTTTGTTAGAAAATTGGATATTTTTTCCAAATAGGCAGGAGGGAAAGGTAAAATAAATGTGTACATATCTGTTATTTTCCCTATTAACAATATACTTCTTTGCAGAATTCTAATGTGTGGAGACAACATTTCTTTGAAACCAAAAAAAAGAGGGTTCAGCAAAATTTATGAGGTGTCAGGTATGAAAGATATATTCAGTGCTATCATATTTAATTTTATATCATTAACAGGAAAAGCTTAATTAATAGATAAGTAGCTGTTAATTTTTAGTATAGTAAGAAAAGAAAAAAAAATTAAGTTTCCTCTCTCTCAGGGCTGAACATATAAACCTAGGCCCTGCTGTAACTTTGTGTATTACACAGATACTGAAATTGCCAAAATAGAATAGCCCCAGGCTGCTTGTACATGTTAAGGACTTGTTTGGTGCCATTTATGAATTATTCTGCATAAAACTAAGTATTTTAAAAGCTGATTTTAAAAAGTACAGATTTTATTGCATAAATTGAAACTGTAATTTCATGAATAAATTAGAGTGAACAATTAATATGAAAAGGATTGATGACTGCAAGGCTAAGAAATCCTCATATGGTCTTAGTTATAGACTTTTTACTCATTCATTACTCAAAATAGAGATGTAATAAATATATACTTTTCTGGATTTGTTGCAGCATTTGTGGCACTTTATAAATTGGCATAAGGTCTGGCTGATTATATCTAATTCATCAAATTAAGCTGATACATAAAATTCCTTTTAACATTGTTTCAGCTAAAAATCTGAGTCCTGTACGGAAAATCTTTAACAGAGCTTCAAGCACTGCACTTAGGATTCATAAATTCTCCCAGCATTCTTTCCCATAATAAATATGCCATTATGCAATATGCATATGATTGCATTTGCTATAGTGGAATATCCTGCAATGCCATGTAATAAAAATCCTTACCATACAAATATATACTAGGAAGTAAGCTTTACTGAATACAGTCATATTTATGTCCTAATATATAAACTTGTTCTAGTTTTGCTGATTATTGTAATGCATAGATTAGAAATCTGTTTTGCTCTTTTGCAGCTTCCCTCCACTTGGGATATTCCTTATGCTGATATGGTAATTTCAGAGTGGCTGTCATCATAGGCGAACAAAGGTAATAATTCCTTATTAAAGAATATAATTTACAGTTTTTAAATGTCAGTTTTGAGCTTAAGTGTATTTGCATACTGCAGACCAGATTTTGAGTAGTCAAAGCAATACATGCAGAGATTTACCTTGTAAAAGCCTTAGATACTAACACTGGATATATATTTAAAGTTTAATTGTGAAATACATTAATAGTCAGTGGATGTGTATTATTTTTTTCAATCTTAAAGCAGTGAATATCTGGAGTACGAGTTTAACTCTGAGTTTTTGCTAATATATTAAAATCACTACTGACTTTTGGTGCTTCATCACTATTCTTGTACTTATTTCTATAGCAGAGGTCACCAAGCCTTTCACGCTGGTGGCCTGGAGGGAAAGGGAGCAGCTGGGAAATGTGCATGTGCGCACAGGGCCACGTACACCTGCACAGTGCTAGCATCCCCGTTTGTACATGCAGGCCGCCACTGCTAGCCCCGCGTGCATGCACAAACTAGCCATGCAATCTGCACAATGCTAATGGTCCCTTTTGTGCATGTATGCAGGTGCTAGCCACCGCCTCTGCTAGCGCCGTGCGCATGTGCAAACGGGCCACATAACCCACCCATGCTAGCAGCCCCATTTGCACATGTGCTAGCCACTGCCGCTGCTAGCTCCGCACTTGCACAAATGGGCTGTGCAACCCACGCGTGCTAGCGGCCCTGTTTGCGCATGCATGCATGCGCTAGCCACTGCCGCTGCTAGCCCTGCATGCATGTGCAAACTGGCCATGCAACCTGCACATGCTAGCAGTACTGTTTGTGCAGGCGCTAGCCGCTGCCGCTGCTAGCCCCGCACGCAGGCACAAACAGGTCCGCGGATGCGAGCATGAGTGGGGGTGTGTGCACACAGGTTTGTGCATTGGCCAGCCTGGCCCAGTGGCCAGTAGGCCATGGCCCGGTAGTGGGCCGCGGACCATAGGTTGGGGACCCCTGCTATAGGACTTCATGTTTAAAAATATGAATAATTAAAGAGTCAGATGAGGTTTGTTAAGGGTCCTGAGCTTAATAATATTTTGTAGAAGACTAAATTAGCCTATAAATTATTCCAGACTATAATTTCATAAATATTGTGTGATAAATACTATGCTGCAAGAAAACATTAAAATTACATTTCAAGGATTGTTATAGGTTGTTCCAGGGCTTTTTTTCTCATAGAACGGAGTTCCGGCACCTTTTTTGGATGGAACCTTGTAGGGTAGGCAAGGCGGGTTGTATGACGTGTATGAGTTCCGGCACCTTTTTTTTTTTTTTTTTAATAGAAAAAAAGCACTGGGTTGTTCTTGGAAGACCTAAGTGACTGGTACACAAAATCTGCACCATTAGGTTTGCTGAGGTTATAATTTCTTCACAGAAAAATAAATATATATACTTTCTTGTCTTTATGAAATGAGTTATGGTATATTATTTCACTCCTGTTGTGTTTTTTTTTTAAAGAACAGCATAGAATGTTGTAATGGTTTACCTATACTGTTAGATGAATTGATCAGTTAATATAATATGGTTAGTAGCACATGCCTACACGGCTCAACTTAAAAACAAAAATATTAAAATCTGGGTAAAAGAAGACGGTAAGGTGTCCCCTAGAACTTTGTGTAGTCTTGTCTTAGTTATGCTGCCCTGCTAAGAGCATTAAGTGCCAGTCAGTATAATTCTGTGGCATATGAATGTTTGTTAGCTTGAAGCAGTATATGCAAAAAATAAATAGATATAAAACATTAATATATGTTTTTATATATGAATTTCTGCTGAATAGCTACATGATATGTAGCTTATTGACAGAGATTAAGTTATACTATCTATATCTTTTTGTTATGATTTGAATTAATTGCTTTTATATAAGAAATCTCTTTTAATTTAGAATTTTGAAAAGCAAGTTATCTGGGCATCTGTTTGTTTTCTTTGCTAATTTTAAAGGAAATCTATGATTGTTTGCAACTAAATCACCATTTAATTGGAACTATAAATGGATTTGGCTATGTATTTGAATAGATCACATAAATATATTCCTTTTGATTGAACATTGTCAGGATTGGATCAGATAATCTTCCAATATTATATGTTTTATGTATGTGTTCTGAATAATTATATATAAAAAGTTTCAATAATTATATTGTGAAATGTGGGAGACTGCTAAAATCTTCTCTCTCCTTGCATAAAGAAACAGGTTACCTTTAAAAAAACACAAAATATATGAAATCAATCTCTGCAGTTTTAGAATTAAAATATGCTCTTTATAGAGCTAGAGTGTGCAAAATGAGTAATATAATTGTCCTGTTGCACAATTATTATTTGTAGTGTTTTAAAGGATTGGTTCCATTAAGGTTTTGCTTTTATATTTGTAGAAAAGTAAATCAGTCTTCTCTATGTATTAACGAGAAGAAATCAAATACTAGTGTCCTAGTCCTATTAATAACTTCAGAAATTAGGAAGCATCCAAATTTCTATAATACTTTTTTGGTATATTATATTTAATTTAAACTTATAATGTTTTGCTTCTAAAATAATTTTCTGGCGTTCTATTAATGTCAGTGTAATATTAGCAGTAGTGACATATAATATGGTAAGAAACATGAAAGATGATGCAAGGAATGTTGTTCCTCTAATAGACTTCAGATTTATGGAATACTGAAAACCAATACAACATTCTATACTTTGCAAGAACATTTTTCCTACTGTGTAAAGGCAAAACATGCTTGAACTACTTGAAATTACCTCTGCAATTTTGTTTTAAAACAATTATTGCCAATATCTATTTCTCTAAGCTATTTGAGGAAAGTCATTGGATAAACAAATTTATAGGGGAATGTATCATATCTTGCAACAATTGTCTGAATGGCCACTATGAAGGTAGAAGTTAATACTGTCCTTTCAACATTTTATTTTACAATTAATCTCACTATTGTCCTGCCCATAAAAAATAAAAAACAAAAACAAATTGGATGTGTATTTAAACTCCTGTATCAGGGGTAATGGACCACATATCTATACAGCATATTCCCCAAAGCATATATTGTAATCAGTATGTTAATTTTAAGACTACAAGATTCTTTTCTTCTTCTTCTGATGCAACGGATTAACGTTGTAATTTTTCCTGGCATTTACAAGTATTTTCTAAAGGAGGCTTTATGTAGGATGTGTGTATGTTGAGAGCAACATTTTTCAGAGTTTAAGAAACGGGAAACTTCTTCCCAACTGTTTTAATGTCAGTTGTTATGTTCAGAAAACAGGAAGGAACACATCACTCAGTTCTTTTTTTGCTATCCTAATTCTAACCCTGATTTTTACTTTTATCTTTAAAATATTTTTCAAACTCTTACTTAAAAAAATCTGCATGCTTTCTTTCGTGTAAGAAAAATTCTCAGTCATAGACTGATAGAACTGGAAAGCATCATTTAGACATTGAAACCAACCCTCTGTTCAGTGCAGGAATCTAGATCAAAGCAGTTGTGACAGATGACTGCGCACCCTTTGTCAGAATGCATCCAGTGATGAGAAACCCACTTCCTCTTTGCTCGTTTGGTGCCGCTATCAAACAGCTCTTACTTAAAAGGCATTTTTCTTTAATGGTTAACAAGAATATACTATCCTGTAATATAAAGCTAATATTTTATATCTGTACACTGGATCCTTAAACAACAAAGCTTGGTCTTCTTCTAGGTGAGATCTTTCCTTGCAATTTGTTTTCAAATTCAGTATTCTCTTTTCTTCCTATAATACATGTATTAGTCATTATAATCCTACATTTTTTTTTCTTTGAAACTCTGTATGTATTCCATGGAAATTTGCAAGTTGCATTTAGGAGCAGTTGCAAAATATTACCAAAACATCCAATATACTGATTTGCATTTTGGGCAGAAAAGACAGGATAAAAATATTACAAATGTCATGTTTTATTTACTCTTACTATGATACACCAGTATAACTATGCATAATAAACTGCAACTTTAATTACAATTTTATATTTAGCATACAACCATCATTTTATTTGTACTTACTGAAATATCAATTTCAGTAAACAGAGTCCTTTGTACTGGCAAAAGAATATACTGGGATAAATGAGTAAGCAATGATCATTTTAGTTTTCAGACGGACAAACACTATTACATGTCTATAGAAACATTGTATTGCAATCTTTTTTTAGTTGGTTGGAAAATGGAATAAAGTATTTATTTAGTAAACAAATCTATTTTAACATTATATATAGACAATTCCTTAGCAAAGGACTAAAGCACGCATCTTTTGGTAACCATTTCTCCCCAATTTAGACATTGTTTTCCAATTCAGTAGTATTAAATTCTTGGTGTGTGTCTGTGTGTCTGTCTGTCTGTCTGTCTGTCTATCTCTCTGTGTGTGTGTTTGTGTGTGTGTGTCAATGGATACATCTAATTGAAGGTAAACTCTTTCAAGTTATGCTTCTGGTAATTTCATGGACATGCCATTCAGTTTTCTTTGCCTATAATTATGGAATTCCCAAGCAATCCTCAACCTGGGTAGTAACCAGGACTTTGTGGTGCTTAGCTTCTGAAATTGATATGTGCTGTTATCTGCTAATTATATATATTTTAAACTATGTCTGGTAAAGAACCTGTTACACACTCCCTTTTATTTGTAGTTTTCCTTTGAGAACTTTAATGATGCATGTTGAAGAAAGCATGATGGATGGATTTGTGGTTTTTGTGTACAAATAAGTAATGTGGTAGATTAAAAATGTCTTTATTTAAATTCATAGTATATTTATGTATCACTGGATACTTGTATTTGACAGATTTAGATTTTATTTTTCATTCAGAAGGTCAAGGCAAGATACATTGCATTCCCTCTCTCAGTTGTCCCTAAGCAAAAAAGGTAGGTTGCATTAAAAGATAGTGACTAGCTAAAAGTCATAAAGGGAATTTCTGTCAGAGGTGGACTTAAACCTGGGTCTTCCCAATCTAAGTTCAGTATCCTTTCTAGTACACTATATTGTTTT